GACCCTTACTCCAATTTAGGGATGAAGATAGCAGCATTTGCACAAAGGCCTGTATAGTGTCAGAAGCCAGTGTTTACCATGGTTCAGGTTCCTGTGTGCTGAGACACACCCACAGTTCAAGGGTTGCAAGAAGTTGCCAATACCCCATGCTACTTTGGACCAGCAAGCCAAGGAAATTGCAAGGCACCCTGATGGGAGGGGAGGGGCAGGCTTGAGTCCTCCTGGGCTGCAGGAGACCTGCTGTAAACACTGCCACATGAACACACCCCTGTCTTGAAGCAGCCCCTGGTGAGAAAACCAAGGCACGGCTGTCTGGCTGCTTCCTCCTGGCTCACTCCCACCCAGACTCATCCAGGCAAAGGCCCCACAGGAGTATGGTCCAGAGTGAAGACAGCTGGGGCCAGCCTGGCACCAACAGCCACAGATGGCAACAGAGAGTCAGGGAGGGGACCCCAAATTTCCTTCACAAGAACCTCTGAGAGAGCCCAGGGGCCTCTTACCTTCGGTGCCTGGAGTACTTTCCCCGAACATGTCCAGAGCCTGTGCATCCTGGGGTGGGACAGCTGGGGGACAAGCAGAAAAGGTCACCACAGGTGTCAAGAGCCTAAGGACCCACCAGGACCCAGCCTGGGGAGCAGGAGATGGTCTCTGAACCATTTATCTCAGGATAAAACTGGTAGTTTGCTAAGAAAAATTAGTGAAATAACTCAGCCCATTTAAATAAATGAATAGCTCATTACAGTTTTATGAGTATGTTTAATTAAAGATCTGTATGTGTAAGAGCACGGCTTCTCACATTGGCATCTGCTTGCTGGGCAGCTTCCTTGCCCCCAGGCAGACATTCTGCCAGCTGCCAACAGGTATCCAGGGGCTCAGAGACAAGCCCCCTTGAGGCACCCAGAAGCAGCACCCTTTCCATAGGGAGCTCGTGCTCATCTGGTGCAAGACCAGAGCACAAAAGTCAGAATTCTCCAGGCCCATCACCAATGCTATAAGGCCTGTGCCCACCAAGGGCAGCAGTCTACACCCCCTTCCCTGCAAGCCGAATGGCTGCCAAGCAGGGAAAGCTCTGTGTGGCCCAAGCCAACAACCCCAGTACCTCTGGCCTTGTACGGGTCCCGGCTACCACAGAGCAATGAGAAGCCGGGAGGGCTGCCCCCCGCCATGTGAAGGACGTGCCAGCTGTTCTGAGAAAGGCACTGCCCCCCATGACGGAAGCTATAACAGGGTGAGAGTAAGACCCCCTCAAGTTCCTTCCTTCAGCTATCACCTGTCCAGCAATGTGTCTAAGTCTGTGGGGAGCTCTGGAAGAGTCCATTCATGGGCACTGGCCATACTACCCAACCATGGCAGCAAGGCCAGGGTTCTACAAGATCTGTCAAGTGAGAGCAGCCGCAGAGCGGCCTGGGTAGTGTGTGAAGCCAGCATCACCACACCACAGGCTCCTACGGATTGAGACATGTTCACAGTCTGCAGGCTGCAAGGCGTTGCCAATGACACCACACTACTGTGAACTGGCAAGACAGGGCAACCTCCACGCTGCCTGAAAGATGGAGAGGGAAGACCCTGAGCTCCCCATGGGTTAGGGACAGAAACCTCCCTGGTACTGGTGGAGGTATACAGGATGGGGGTCTCCGGTCTGAGCGCCTGCCTATGATCAGGCTGGGCTCTCCTAAAACATAGCACATCCACCCAGGGCCTGTACAGGGAGAGGTGAAGGGCAGCTTCTGAGAGCCAGGTAAAGGACACTAACTCCTCCTGTCCGGATAGCACCAATGGTAGCTAGTAGATTGGCTATGGCCTGATTTCAGATACCAGGGACCCAAAACTGGCCATGTAGGCCACAGTTGCTGACCTCCCCAGAGCCGGTCCCAGTCCAAACAATGTCAGTAGCCGGGGCTCCTAAGGGCTTCCCTCCCCCACAGGCCACTCTTAGAAGGGCATTGAGGGGGCAGCTGCCCTTAGTGCTGGACTTTGATGTGTTAAAAGGAAGATAGAGCGGCAGAGCAGAATGGAAGAGAGACTGAGGCCGCCAGGAGGAAAGGAGGAGGGAAGAGTCCGGAGGGATTTTTTATCAGATTTCCTTTCTAGACAGAGGGAATTGCCGTGGCCCTGGTCTGTCTATTGTGAAACCCAGGCTCACATTTACTTTACCGTCTCAAGAACTAGCTTAGAGACTTTTCACAAAAAGCTCCTTGTTATGTAAGGCTTGAAGCTGAGGTCCCAATTAGCTGATTAATCGCTGAGTTAATCGGGCAATTAGGTGACAGCTGCTGTGGAAGCCTGTGGGGCGCTGTGTTGCCCCCTCCCCACCCCATGTCACCTGCTCTAAGCAACTCCTCCACTGCTCAGAAGGGTCCTGGTCCCCAGCCAACACCTCACAACCCAACCTCAGGGCATGAGACTTAGCTAAAATCCAACGCGTGTGGAACTGGCAAGGCCACTCTGGGACAGGATACAGGAAACCCCTGATACCCAGCAGCTGAGAACACATCCAGCCAGAGGCTCCAAAGTCTGCAGTGGCAGTAGGCATCAACCTTGAGATTCACAGGTTCACCTGTCAGTGCCCATAAGCACCTATGACCACCTAAAAGTTCATATGAGCAACTGTGAGCACAGGAATACATACAAGCACACACAGTGCCTATAAATACCCTGAACACATGTGAATATACACAATCAATAAGCACGTGTAAACACATACGGCACACGGACCTATGAATAGCTTATATGCTCATGTGTGCATCTGTAATATGTAGGAATGCCTGTAAGCATAGGCTCCATGCCTCCTGAGCCGCCTCCGTTACGTGGAAGAGACAGACCCTGGCTGATCCCTGCCTGGTCCTCAAGTCGTACTCCTGAACTTCCCAGCCTTGGCTCCTGCGTAGCTGAAGTCGGTGGCAAAGATGTAAGGGGGCAGAACAAGCAAGGCAGCAAAGGGCTGGGGTGCACTTCTCAGCAGCCAATCTGATGACCCAAACATTTGCCTTGGGTAACTCCACTTGGGAGGAGAGTCAAAGCCTAACTCGGGGCCTCTTGCTTTCGTTACCATCCTCCCAAGGGACTGGCTTCCTTCCCACCCCAGGCGCACGTAGAAGACCCCCACACTACCTGTCCTCTAAGCAGGAGCTGGCCCATGGCTCAGAGAAAAGGTCCTCTGAAGAGGAGGGGCTGGACGAAGGCCTGCAGGAATAAAGCCCTGGCTATCCTGACGATGTGTCTCGACGCTGATAACCCTAATCGTTGGCTTTAATAGAGCCTTCCCAGGTTGTGTGGCAGCTGCTAGATTTGACCAATATGAGGCTTGTAGTATCTGTCAGTTTTCCACAGGTGCCAAGGGCAAGTCATTCCCTTGGAATTAAATGCACAAGGAAATCCAACCAGTTCCTAGGGGACAAAGAGGCAGGGCACCTCATAACAAGCACCCCACTACCCCACAGGGAACAGGTTCTTCCTGAGCTGTGCGGTTATCTGGGGGGGGGGTCAATGCAAGCAAATGGGTTATAAGTCACTTGTCTACTGAAGAAAGTCAAGAACACAGGCCTACACCCAAGTGATTCTGCACCAGTTTGCCTAGTAATCACGATTTGCCCTTGTAACATAATATTCCTCTCCTAAATGGCAACAGCAAGCCCTGTGTGTATCACGCTCACAATTCTTGCACCCACAGTGTGAGCCACCTTATCTGATTATCTGATCAGATCCCAGGGTAAACTGGCCAAGGGAGGGGACAAACAGCAAATGCCAAGGAGGCATAAATGCTTTCACCACAAATGATGTACAGGATGAGCCACACATGCACTGCAGATTATCGCCATGTGGAGGCTGTGGACAAAAAACATGTAGAAGCACAGGAATGAGAGTTGTCACCTGTGGAGCTGGGTGGACTCCTTAGCATAAGTCTCTGTTCCATTTTGCTCTATGCATTCCTTTTAAAAATGAAGAACTGTGGGCTTGTAGTTCAGTGACAGCACTTAGCTAGCATGTACAAGGCCCTAAGTTCAGTCCTTCCCAACACACCTCCCAAAAAAAAACAGGGGAAATTCTGAAGGAACTGTTGGTAGAACATTAGACACCAATGTATTTGCCCACCAGGTGTCCCAAGTTAAACGCCATCCTCCTGGGCCCTTTGAGAGTCCTAGGGCCTCATAGCCATGGCTTCTTCGGCCTATCCAAGGGGGCTTCCCTCTAGGGAGTGTCCTGGCGCTTCGGGGACGCTTCCTGGGAAACCCTGAAGCGCTGGTGCCTGGTCTTGCAGCTGTCCACTTGTCACCCTTTCTACCCTGACCCATCACCGGGCTTCCAGCAATAGAGAACATGAACCAGCTCTTTTAGTTGGACAACGCTTAACCCTAAGGCTCACTTTACACACTTCACAGATAGGATAAAAACACTACCACTGGTGCTTCCAGGACTATCCCTGGGTTGGCAACTACCCTAGGACGCCTTCACAGCCTGGGGCTACCTCCCATGCCCTTCCATTTCCAAACTAAAGCCTGAAATACTGGAGGGAAACTGGTCTTCTGTTCCATCCTCTTCACAAGAACCGTGCAGTAAGCTTTGAGGTACTTGTTTTCCTGACTGGTAAAGAAACATCCGCTTAATAATTGTAGCATGAAGAAATAAAACAGGTCCTGACCCATCTGTTCACAGTTTAATAGTAATCTACCCCTGAACAGTAGGAAGAAACATCAAAAAGCTGCCAACTGCATCCACCAGCCCATGAAACAACTGTGCTGACTCAGGTTGTGGAAACCCTTTCTCTCATCTGTGGCCAAACTGCAGCATTTGCAGGATTCAACCAAGAGCACCTCACCTCTGGTTTTAGGGACCTTGGTGACATACCAGAGCCTTGGTGGTGACCAGAGCTTCGGTCACTGCCGTGAGGATGGGACACCTTTAACGGGGCCGTTCAGAGCTAAAGAAGAATACCTGGGATATGGTACACAGAGAGGCAATCCACCCCCAGAAAGAAAGGACCTTCAAGGAACACTGAGGACATCTTCAAGGTCACAGGAAAATGGGTGGTGGTGCCAGTGGGAGCAGAACTTCTCACCTGAGATCTGCACTCGTAGTCTCCGGGGGTCCTGAGTAGCGAAAAAGAAACAGGAATTTTAGAAACCAAAGAAAACAACTAAGAGCTTGCCAGGGATGGGGTGGGGAGCCTCGTGGGCTCTGAATTGCTCCTCTGGTGCCACCCTTTGCTAACCTCCAAGAAGGTGCTCTTAAGTCCGGGTGTTAGTGACTAGGGTCCTCTATAATGTATCAGATCCAGCGTTGTTTATTTTAGTCACTCAGCGTGTTTACTTGTAGATGTATAGGCATATTCTAGTTGCCACAAATGAAGGAAAGGCATGCAGCCTATGTTTCTTTGGCTCTGGCTTACTTCACTTCATATAATTTTTTCAAGTCTTTCCATTTCCTTACAAAAGATACAATATCATTGGCAAAGGAGGCCATGCATAGGAGTGGAGGACAAAGGCTCAGTAGCTATGTACCAACGATCACATAAAATACTATTCTATGAAATGAACTCCAAGAAAAGGAAACAAGAGACGTTCTTTAGTTACCTTTGGTGCTGTTTTTGTTTTCTTTTCCTTTTGTCTTGTTTGTTAGTTTGTATTTGGGAGCGTAAAAGCGTGGGACAAGGATGAACAACTACAACAGTGATACTAGTCACTACATGGAAAATGAACTGGATAGCTTATGGGTGGGAACTGGAGGGAAAGACTGGGAGAGAGAGGCAGAAGGGGAGACATGGTTCAGAAAGAATTACACTCGTTACTCATTACCTGTTTCGTGTAAGTGTAACCTCTCTGTATATCAACTCTACAATAACAATATTAAAAAAAGAACTGTCTCCTCAGCCACATGCTTGCTCTAAACCTACCCCTGAAGGACTTGCAGAGTGGACCTGATCTCTGAGCCCACAAGGCCCAGGGTGCTATCTCTTTCTCTAATTGTAGATAATATCAGCTTTTGGCAGGAGACATGACCCATCAGATCCAGCTAGAGATGAGGAGAGACGTGCCCACGCCAGTCCGCATGACGGGCACTGATTGCAAAGATATGCAGAGGTCCTACCAGGGCAGGCAGTCCCGCAGATACTCAGAGCTTCTGACACTATGGGTCATGACAGGATGCCCCTGCAGCTGTGAGGGAATGGAGACAGCCAAGGGGTTGAAGCTCAGTAACTAGAACCCCTGCTCCGCTCTGTGCAACAAACTTCCAGTCCTCACCATAACCAGTACTAATCTCTGGGAGGGAAAGGGCTAATGGCTACGGAAACAATCCAGATGCCCCCTATAGGCCAACGGATCCAAAAATTGTGCTACCTATATACAATGGAATATTATGCAGCCATTAGAAAGGACAAAATAATGGCATTCAAAGGGAAATGGATGGAACTAGAGAAATCATGTTGAGTGAGGTACGCCAAGAGCAAAGAGACAAACAGCACATGGTCTCCCCAATAAGTGGATGTTAAGTCTAAAACATAAGGAGATACGACAAAGTAAACAAGACTCGAGAAACAAAGGCTCCACTCATCTGGTCATATCATTACTAAATGACCCCATGCTGCTGACCACATATACGATAGATAGATAGACATACATATATACATATATATATATATATATGCACATGAGAGGGAAACTAGAATCAGAGGGAAATGGGAAAACATACAACAGCGGGACCCGTCAGCTGCACTGGTCACTGATGAAAATGAACTAAGCAACTCAATGGCAGCGATGGGAGGGAAGGAGTGAGCGGGAAAGAGGAACAGCTGACACTAAGCACCTGATGTGGAAGAAATAACTGTCAAAGCTCATAGAATTTACAAACTTTACAGACCCCAATAAAGACAATTTGCCCCAGGAAGGTTAGAATGTATTTGTGACTTTAACTAAGTATCACTATCTCACAATACTGTGAAATTTGTAAACATTTATGTAATTACAATAAAAAAAAAGCTTCTTAGATTCTGAACTAAGGATGAAAAGGGTAAGGAGTCCTGAGGGCTCCAGGTGCTCCACATAGCAAGGGCTATGTGGAGAAGAACTGCATTTGTGATGGGTGTTTTCTCTTGAGAACCATTGAGCAGATTGGCACTGACAGCTCCAGACAAAGCAGCTCGTAAGACAGGGACTCACACCAGACCAGACAGCACTTACCTCGGAGGGCCTTTGACCGTGTGCGGGCTCTCTTGTCATCATTTTCTAAGCTCATCTGCAGGCAAACAACAACTTATATGTTAACAAGAAATCCAAGTCAGCAGTTGCCTCTTGTCCAGAACTACTCAGGACATCTGGCCAAAGCTTTGACAGTGAAGGTAAAATGGTGACCCAGAACAGCAAAGGTGGACCAGGAGCAGCAGGTTGGACAGGGTACAGGAATACTGTGCTCCATGCCATCTCTCAGCCCTAAGCTGCCTCAACTTCATATTTGCCCACAAAAGCCAAAGCACAGTTGGGCACCAGTGATTCATGCCTTGATGCTAGCTATTCATAGCTGGGCACCGGCAGCTCATGCCTATTCAGGAGGTTGCGATCTGAGGACTGCGGTTTAAAGCCAGCCCAGGTAGGAAAAGCCATGAAACTCTTATCTCCAATAAGCCACCAGAAAACAGGAAGTGGTGCTGTGGCTCAAGTGGTACAGCACTCACCTTGAGCTCAAGAGCTGAAGGACAGCACCCAGGCCCAGAGTTCAGGCCCATGACCGACAGAATAAATAAGTAAATAAATAAATAAATGCTAGCTATTCAGGAGGATGAGCTCTGAGGATTTGAATCCAAAGTCAGAACAAACAGAAAACGTAATGAGACTCTTATCTCTCATTAATCAGCAAAAAGCTGAAGTGAAAGTGTGGCTCAACTGGCAGTGTGTCAGCCTTGAACAGAAAAGCTAAGCGAGAGTGCCAAAGCCCGCAGCTCAAGCTTGGTGCGTACATGTGTTTGTGTGCACGTGACACATGCACAAAGTCAAAGCACAGGACCTGCCCTGCTCACTTAGAGAGTGTTTTATAACCTCAGGGGGCCCTTGGCACAGCACTGTTCAACAGGCGAGGGGATACTGAGGCACAGGGCAGGTTGTCTGCCACAAATTCAGCTGCCAAGGATGGGGCTGGGTCGGACCAGCAGGTCCCAAGCTTGGCTTTCCCCAGACCCTGCCCTAACCTACCAGGGTAACGGGAAGTCTTGGCTCATATGTTCTCTGGCTTCCCAGGTAAGGTCTCACTGGCCTGTCCGGCTACCCTGCCCAAACCCATTAAAGACTGCACATTTCTGTTCTCACTAAACCCAAGAGGCTTCCATGCAGATGCTGCCCACACAGGGTCCTTCAAGAAGGCAGGGGAAAGCCCCCAGGAGACATGCTTGAGAATGAGGGCACCCAAGCACTATGGCTCATCACACAGAACGCTAGCTGTGTCTCCATGATAAATTTGGAAGACGCAGAAAATCTTAGTGCCCTGTGTAGGAGGCTGAAGAATCTCCAAGGGTGTCTGAGGGCCTGGTGGGCACCTGGAGAAGACTGGCTGGCCTGGGATTCACCATGTATCCCTGTGATCAGGGAGGAAGTGAGACAAATCCACACCTGGGGCAGATCACTGACCTTAACACCCAGGGTCCATGTGGAAGGCTGGCAACGGGAAAGCATGGAAGTGGCAGAAGTAACAGAAGAAGGAGAGCAAGAGCGGGGCCCAGAAGCCCTCAAAGAAACTTTAGTCCTAAAAGCCAACAAGAGGCAAACCTATATGTTAATACCTGGGAAGAAAGAAAACGGAATTCCTCTAGATAGGTGAAATTCACAAAGTGAGCTTTCCTCATACATTAGCATAACATACAATGATTTATGTGACTTGTTAAGGAAGGAAAAACAAAATCTGAGTAATGTATGCAACCTGTCCACTCTAGACTGTAGATCAGTGCTATAAGCTATGCATTTACTACAAAAGCATAAAGCAGAAGACAATTGCCGGGCACTGGTGATCACAACTATAATCCCAGCTACTCAGGAAGCTGAGATCTGAGGATCACAGTTCAAAGCCAGCACAGGCAGGAAAGTCTGTGAGACTCATCTCCAATAAACCACTCAGAAAACCAGAAGTGGTGCAGTAGCTCAAGTGGTGGAGCACTAGCCTTGAGCTGAAGAGCTGAGGGACAGCGTTCAGGCCCTGAGATCAAGCCCCACAACCAACAAAAACAAACCAACAAACAAAAAACAATTACTATGGTTTTTACAGTAGGGGTTACCCCCACAAACCAATGGCTCATATTTAAAGTGAAGAGAGGAGCAGGGGTCACTTTATGAGGCACTTCTGAGCTTTTAGATATCAACAGCATTGAGCGTGTGTGCAGTGCCCATGTAACTTGCACAACAGAACTGGTACATCTGATTTGCCTCAAGCTTGTACTGAGTTGAAATGAAATCTATAGCTTTCTCTTCCTCTCCTTCATTTTTTCCTATCATTTTCCCCAAGGAAATTGGCAAGCAATTCTACTAAGTTAAAGAATGCCAACTAGCCAGGCACTGGTGGCTCACACCTGTAATCCTAGCTACTCAGGAGGCTGAGATCTGAGGATTGTGGGTCAAAGCCAGCCCAGGCAGGAAAGTCCATGAGACTCTTATCTCCAATCAGCCCCCAGAAAACTGGAAGTGGTGCTGTGGCTCTAAGTAGTAGAGCACTACCTTTAAGTGATAACACTCAGGGACAGTGACCAGGCCTTGAGTTCAAGCCTCACAATTGACAAAAAAAAAAAAAAAGCTAACTATACAACTTGTGGGCAGGACAGAAGGCAAAATCTTGGAAAAAGTGAAAGAAGGGCTCACATTGTCCAAAAGAAATGTGCTCATTACCTAATTTATGAAACAGTAACCTCTCTACACAATGCCTTTATAATAACAATTTGGGGGGGAAAAAAGTGTACCTTGGCATCTGGGTGCCAGTGACTCACAGGTGTAATTCTAGGTACTCGGGAGGTTGGGATCTGATGATCATAGTTCTAAGCCAGCCCAGGCTGGAAAGTCTGTGAGACATTTTTCCCCCAGTCCTGGGGCTTGACCTCAGGGGCTGGGCACTGCCCCTGAGCCTCTTGGCACTCAAGGCTATCATTCTATCACTCGAGCCACAGTGTGACTTCAGCTTTTTCTGAGTAGTTTATTAGAGGTAAGAACGAACTTTTCTGCCTTGGCTGGTTTCAAATGGCAAAACTCAGATCTCCAGCTCCTGAGTAGCTAGGATCACAGGTGTGAGCCACCAACAGGCCTGTGAGATTCTTATCTCCAATAAATTACCAAAAAGCTTGAAGTAGAGCTATGGCTCTACTAGCCTTGAGCCAAAAGAAGCTCAGGAACAGTGCCCAGGCCCTGAGATCAAGCCCCAGGACTCAGGGTATGAAGGATGGTTACTTGTTCAAAGCACAAATGCAGGCACTATTTGGCACAAAAATCTCGATGACATTTCACCTTAAAGGTGAAGGGGCTTCTTTGTGGAGATAAACTAAGCTCACACCCTAAAGCGGCCAAGCCAATCACTGTGGAGCCAGCAATGTCCCTCAAGAGCAACATCTGAAACTGGCAGATCCCTTTCCCAGTGAGCAAGAGGCCCTACGTTCACCCCCCTCAGGCTAGGGTAGGGTGAGGGGAGTGAGGCCAAAAAGTCAATAATCAAGATGAATAGTATTTAAATGTAACATTTTAAAACATCAACAATAATGTAATCAAATCCATAATAGACAAAAATGCCAGAATTCTGGATAAAGGCACTTGATACTCTTGATGCCTAAAGCTCACCTAAAACACTGATCGCCCACCAGAACCAAGGTGAGTGGGGTAGCAAGACAACCACAGTGGACCCATTACGATGCACATCTTCATCACCACACTCACTAGTAAGCACAGTAAAATGCAAGCACTTTCGACATAGTTCATAGTTGGGTACTGGTTCCCTTGCCTGCCAATCTAGCTGCTCAGGGGGCTGAGAGGTGAGGATTGCAGTTCAAAGCCAGCCTGGGCTGACACACCCATGAAACTCTCATCTCCGATTAACTACCAAAAAAATAAGCAGGAAGTGGAGCTATGGTTCACGTGGTAGAGCGCTGACCTTAAACGCAAAGGCTCAGAAACCCCAAAACTGGCACACAAATTGTGTGTGTGTGTGCGTGTGTGTGTGTGTCTGTCTGTCTGTGTGTCTGTGTGCGTGTGTGTGTCTCTGTGTGTGCGTGTGTATGTGCATGTCTGTGTGTGTGTCTCTGTGTGTCTCTGTGTGTCTCTGTGTGTCTGTGTGTACGTGTGTGTGTCTGTGTGTGCATGTTTGTGTGCATGTGTGTCTATGTGTACGTGTGTGGGTCTGTGTGTGTGTCTGTGTGTCTGTATGTGTGTCTGTGTGTGTGTATGTGTGTGTGCATGTCTGTGTGCATGTCTGTGTGACTGTATGTGTGTGTCTGTGTGTATGTGTATGTGTGTGTGCGTGTGTGTGTGCGTGTGTGTACGTGTGTGTGTCTGTGTGTGTGTCTGTGTGTCTGTGTCTGTGGGCGTGTGTGTGTATGTGTCTGTGTGTGTGCGTGTGCGTGTATGTGTCTGTGTGTGTGTCTGTATGTGTGTGTCTGTGTATGTGTGTGTGCGTGTGTACGTGTGTGTGTCTGTATGTGTTCGTGTGTGTGTCTGTGTGTGTGCGTGTGTCTGTGTGTGTGCGTGTGCGTGTGTGTCTGTGTGTCTGTATGTGTGTATGTGTGTGTGCATGCGTGTGCGTGTGTCTGTGTGCGTGTGTGTGTGCGTGTGCGTGTGTCTGTATGTGTGTGTCTGTATGTGTGTGTGTCTGTGTGTGTGTCTGTGTGTGTGCGTGCATGTGTGTGTCTGTGTGTGTGCGTGTGTGTGTGCGTGTGTCTGTGTGCACATGTGTGTGTGTGTGTGTGTATGTGTGTGCGTGTGTGTGCGTGTGTTCTCAAAGTGCATAGGATTACTGTCTGCAACTGTGCCACCCCCACCTGGGTTGCCATGCCTGGATGGTGGCTGGGACCCTTACTGAAGAGCCTAAACATAAAGGCTGAGAGGTCAGCATCAAAGCTCTAGAAGGGGCTGCACGTGAGCTGATGTATTTAGGAAGACGAAAATAAATTCATCAGTTCCTGTAGGAGAGTCTGTATCAGACCTGTATTCTGGGCCACAGCAGGAAGAACAGGAACAAGCATGGAGGCATCCCACAGGACACATGTATGCACACAATTCAAGGAGGGGAATGGCTGAAGAGTGCGACTGTACTGTCACAGGTAGCCCTCTAATGTTAGTAGTCCCCACTTCCCGTTCGCCCTGCCCAGCTCTGATGATGACCATACTCTCTGTGCTCATGCCTAGAACGATGAAGAGTTGGCATAGGCAGCACGTGGGGTGAAGATTTCACCTTGCTGTGTTGGTCCAGGAGATTTCTTGAGGTCGTACAACTGCTGGCCTTGTCTCCGTGTGTCCACCTCTGGGTCAGCAGTTTGCCCCGGAATTCATTTTCTGAAGAGTTTAAAAGATACAGGATCAGAAAAGGAGAGCCTGACAAGTGTTAACCAGGTATGCTCAGGAACAGAAAGGAACTTGGAGTATGTTTACCAGTGTTTATCTAATCTCTCATTTTCAGAATCTACCAGGAAAACAGACGAGGTTATGGCCTTTATACTGGATCCAAGGCTCAGAGGAAATTCCTCTGCTTTAGAAACAAAGACTGTGTGTGCACAGTCACCCCAACTCTGGCAGTGACTTTATAGAACACATGTCAGAGGACTGTGACATCTACAAACACAGTGTTTCAACCAAAGACACCAGGACAAGTGAAGTGCAAATCTCCTTAAAAAAAAAAAAAACCTATACTTAGACCTGAAAATTGGCTGACTGATGAGTAAATTATTGTTACAAATACATCCTTGCATCCCTATTGCACCCAAAGGAACATACAGCCTAGATCCACTTGAAGGAAGGGAGAAAGAAAGAGAGAGAGAGAGAAAGAGAGAGAAAGGGAATGAGAAAGAAAAGAAAAAAGAGAAAAAGAAGAAATGGCAAAAGAAAGAGAGAGAAGTGAAGGAGAGACAGACAGAGGAAGAGGGAGAGGGAGGGAAAGGAGAGAGGAAGAAAAGGAGGGAAGGAAAGGAGAGGGGAAGGGGTGGAAGGAGAGAGAGAGGAAAGGGAAAGAGAGATAAAGGAAAGGAAGGGAGGAAGGAACGAAGGAAGGAAGGAGAGAGGGAGGAAGGGAGGGAGGGAGGGAAGGAAGGAAGGAAGGAAGGAAGGAAAGAAGGAAGGAAGGAAGGAAGGAAGGGAGATATGTAATCCCAGCACCAAGAAAGCTGAGCAGGAATAAATTCAAAGATAATTGAGCTAAACGACATAGAAAGACTATTTTGTTTTGTTTTTAAAAGATGAGAGGGGATTGAGGAATAAGAAAAAGAAAAGCACATTGCTTCACTCAGCTTCTTTGGAGCCCATTGATTGAGGAAAGTCAAGTTCACCCGGAGACCGCAAAGCAGCTCTGCTGATACTCTGCCTCTCACAAGATTGCATGAGGGTCCTCCATGCACCTCCCTGGGATCACTATTACATGAGGGTTCTCCGTGCACCTCCCTGGGCTCACTATTACAGGAGGGTTCTCCGTGCACCTCCCTGGGCTCTACTAATGCCATTGTTATTTTTTCATTGTTTTTTCTCTCCTTTTGCTCTCCTTTCTCCAGAGCAATGCTTCCAGTTAATATTTAATTTCCCACATAAATTCATATGTCTAAGAAAAGGCTGAATGCATCAGCTAGACATGACAAAGAAATGCATTGTGTACCTATTCCCTTCACGTCATTCCCCGTCTCCATGACAACCTGCTTTCTACAACTGCTAGTTTCAAAGGAAGGTCATTAGTAACCAACAGTAAGAACAGGAAGTGAATATTACTGCATTCTCTCTCTGCTTTCCCTTGGAAGTACATTTGGACTCTGCCACAGGCAGATCAGGCACATAAATATTTTTTTCTCTTTCCCCTGTGTCTTTGGTCCATGACCGCAGACGCTGTCTTCCTCTAGAACTCCATCACTCCTGGCCCCAGGTAGCCCTATGGCTTGGCAATAGCATCCTCCTGTACTTGAAAATGCCTCCATCCCTTTAAAGGGTTCTGACTGCCTTTGGGAGCCAAGACACAGAGGAAGTAGATGTGGTTGTCTAGGATACAGCATATTCAAGTTCTCCAAAGGAATCTAAATCCATAGGACTTTGCACCTAGTGCTGCACCTATTATGTGTCTTCTCCTTACTGACCTTTGAGTCATAGTAGGGTGACGCTGGGAATAGGCCCCAGCCTCCTTCCTTGACTATGAGGCATGAGCTGTAGGATGCGCCCCACAGCCACTGCCCTGCAGAGAGCTGAGTCCTCAAGCCTCCAGCAGGGCTTAGACACCCAGGACACTGGGACCGCTAGGCAGATGCTGCCAACCACATGAGATTTAAAAAACAAAGATGTTATGCAGGGAGGAAAGTATGGCAGCCTCACACGCGTGGGAAGGGAGGGAGGAAGAACATGCTCAGAAGAGACCAGAGGAACAGGAAAGAACTGTGCTGGTCACTACCACGAGTTCACTTCGCCCTTTGACACTAGGATACACGGGCCCTCCTTGGCTAGGATACAGCCGAGGCCTGAAGTGCTCAGGACTCCATTTCTGAGTGTCCATCCTGGGAAAGAAGATGCTACAGGAAGCTGTACCCTGCTAAGGAATTGGGATACAGCTAGAGGAAAGGAGCTGAGGTCTCTGTCATACCCGGTACCCCAGAAGACACCCCTCCTGGGGCTTCTCCTCCACATCTCTCCTGCTTCTCAGAATATTGGTACATGAATTTCCTAAGTCTACAAAGGGACCTCTGGTTTTCTGTTTGGCGGTAGATAACCAACATACTGCTACTTTTCCACCCTCACCATCTCAGGAATCTGGAAACAAGCCCAGTGGAATTACCTATAACCACTGAGACTTATGCTCCTGCCCCAGGTCAGCTGGAGGCTTCTCAGTGTACTGTAAAGCACTGAAACCTTAGGGCCATCCATACCCCCCCAAAGGACATCACTCTGTTGACGCCAAACCAGCAAGCGTTGTAAGACAAGACCAGAGTAAGAGCCTCTGTACAACACCAGGGCCAGGCAGTTAACTCACAGCTCAGAACCTCCAGAATAAAGGTCTGGCTCCTCCACACTACAGTTGTGCTCATCCCTTTTCAAGGAGAATCACCATTAGGCACCCAGTACAATGTGCTGGCCACTTTAGTCTATACCAAGACCTACATGTGGCCAGATCCTGCCCCACAGATTTAACAAGCTCCACCCTAGACAAGAGCCTTCCATCTAGATGTTCTGCAAAACATGCCTTCCTGGTGAGACACTAAGTCCCACGCTCCAAGCAGCATGTAGGACTCACAGGCCAGAGGAAACCCCACAGAGAAGTGTGGAGCCCTTCTGAGTTGCCCTGCTCCATGGACATGCAATGTATAGCCAAGGGGCCCCGAAGCTCATGTACACCTGCTCCACAAGTCACCTGGGCCCTGAGGCTTAATACCCTCATAAAGTTTGGAAAGTTGCTTGGTGTTTGAAGGTACAGATAGGAAGAAATTTCCACCAGGAATCTGGCAGAGGAGATTTTGGTCAAAATAAGACCATATTTGGAGCTCTTGAGTTTCTAATGCGTCCATCCAAATCTATACAAACAGAGAGCCTGCATGTCTCAAGTATGAGCCACTCAGAAACAGCTCTCTGTGGCCAGGCTTGTGGCACTGGCTCTGACCCCTTCCTGCTGAATTGGCCCCAACATGACCGTGGCAGCCAGGGCCCATGTTCTGGACTCTGGTAGGCAGATAAGCTAAGCAGAGCAGCCAGAACAAGCCATGGGAAGGGCTGGGCCAGAGAGCCCCAACACAGGCCAGGGGAAATCCAGAACTGAGAATGCCTGGCTGATGGAGCCCATTTCCTCCTGCTTAGTTACCCTACAGGCACAGGCCGAGGAATAGCATTTCCAAGAAGAGCTCAGAGACAACAGACTGAATACCAGCCAGGCTGGTCTCTAGAAATACTGCCAATCTACCTCAAGGTGAAGACACAGGCACTGTGGCTATTCCTAAATGTACAGCCTTGTGGGGGAACCATCCCTTCTGGTGCTCTCTGGATCACATTGACTTTGGCCAAGCCAGCCTGACCAGACAATGTGTCTTTATGCTGGGCTTAGAGCACCCTCTTAGAGCACCCTGGTGGTCAGTGCTGGCCCCACCCTAGCGTCAGAAGCTTTCCTTCCACGGCAAATATTCACATCACTAAAATAAGAACAAATGTCAGGGAGGAGGAGCCCGTGGTCAGACAGTAAATGTGGTGACCACAGGCCACCTCTGAGGCTAGTGCCTGCCACCACCCACCAACCAGCAGGAAGCTGAGGAAAGCCCATCTCTCAGTTGCCCTGAAACCCACCAACACATACTCCTCAAGCAACGTTAAACACTTCATGACCAAGACTAAACAGCCTCTCAGGCTTCTCCATCCCCGCTCCCCCCCCAAAAATTAGGGACTTACCTCCCATCTGAACCCAACTGTCACTAGACATTGGTAGAGAGCCCCAAGAATATCAGTACCATTTTCATTTCTCTAATATGTAACCATTCTTTTTAACTTTTCAACAGCTCGACACGGGAATGTTGATAAAGCACGGCACTCTGACCTCTCTCCCCTCTCTCCCAGTCGGTCCTCAATCACAAGCCTGAGTGACAGCCACAGCACCCTGTGGCCACCCTTCACCCGCCAGCCTCTCCCAGTCTCCCAGACAGGCCCCTCCTGCTCAACCAGGCCACTAGATATTAGAAGCCCTCTCTTTTCCAACCCACTCTGCCCACAAAAGCTGCTTTTCACGTGGTTTGGGTTTTTCCTCCCTTCATCTGTTGAGTCTTGTCAAAGCTTTCTGAATCACATCAAAATATGACCACTTCTGATTTCTCCAGCTGTTTTATTTTGTTTGCAAAAAAAATAGCAAAAGAGGGGCTGGGAAGGTGGCTCAGTGGTAGAGCGCTTGCCTTGCATGCCTGAGGCCCTGGGTTCGATTCCTCAGCACCACATAATAAAAAGAAAAAAGCTGGAAGTGGCGCTGTGGCTCAAGTGGTAGAGCGCTAGCCTTGAGCTGAAGAGCTGAGGGACAGCGCCCAGGCCCAGAGTTCAGGCCCCACGACCGGACCCAAAAAAAAAAAAGAAATGTACTCATTATCTTGTCCTTGTAATTGTAACCCCTCTGTACAGTATTTTCACAAAAAAAGAAAGAAAGAAAATGTAGGAGCAAGTTCTCCTATCTATGAATTAAGTAATAGTTTCTTAGTTACCATTCTAAAATTGCAAGTTGGCGGGGGGGGGGGGGGGGGGGGGGGGGGGGGGGGGCTGGGAAGGTGGCTCAGTGGTAGATAGAGTGTTTGCCTGGCATGCATGAGGCCCTGGGTTAGATTCCTCAGCACCACATAAGCAGAAAAGGC